TCCATCTGTTGTTCAACTAGTTATACGCGTCCCTTGGCTGTGTTTGGTTGGGTCTAGGGCACGCAACAAACGGGTCGAAATACTCTGGTCAGGTTTGTGATCTGGCATGGTATCGGGGGCGACTAATTGGAAAAGGCTCGATTCAAACTATTCGGCTTAGAGAAAACCCCAAACTTCGACACAGATGGACATTCGAATTCTCGGTTCTGTTGTTAAGTGTCGCGCAATGCGCATGGGAAAGAGTGAAAAGAACCCCAATTTTACAAAAAAGAGAAGACTTGGAAGATTGGCGGCGGCTGACACCAATAACCTTGTCCCGACGACGTCAACAGTAGCTGCAGCATGATCAATCCTTTCCAGCTCGGGGAGGATTTCTTCGTGTATTTGTGTGTGAATAATATGGAATGAATATTATTCGTACAAGAGAGCAGAACATTCTCTCTTACTGATTCAGTGGCCTCTAAGCCAGCCATACACAAGGAAGAGGGTAAACTGTTTCACTTGCAGCTGCTGGACCTATGACTTTCGCATCTCATGCGGCCACAGAAGGAACTTATCGCAGAAGATCTCGGCGGCCCCGAAAACCCTAGGAGATTCCGGGGAAAGCAGAGCTAGTGAATGTAACATTCACGGGGATTGGCAAACCCCGATGAGGCTGAACGCAACGAGTGCGCCAGCATCCGCTAGACGTTCGAGGTTGATTCATCAACACAGCAACACCTTACCAGTGAAAATGAGGGATACAGCATGCAAGATAAGTACACAATGGTATTGGATTCCTGCATGTTACTAATTACCAGGCGACGAAGAAGATAAAACCCTGATGTTGTTCAAATTGTGGTTACCCCGCTGAGCTCTCATCCATCCTTGTAACTCGGGGTGGCATTGATGTTGGTTTGCTTGACCAGCTGAACAATCTCAACATCCACGGTACCCCCATCTTTCATCCAAAAAAAACTACTGCAAACTAAACTCGCATGTCACAATCGCTGCCGCATGCGCCTTTGACTACTATTGATCACGGACACCACAATTCGCTAGTTTGCAGCAGTGTTAGCCATGTTTGGATCCCTTGCGTCCCAAATGTCTGCGTCGTGCGGTTGCATGTCCAATTACGTTGTTTGCCGGGATAAGACGTGGCGTGATATCCTGTGCCTCAGGTACCTCGAAAAGGAAAAAGATTGAAAGAGAGCAGGCCAGCCTATACGGTGAAGTCCAGAGTTAAAAGCAGTGGTCAACAGGACATTGTGCTCCCGGTTTTCGCGTCAAGACTCTGCAAAGACCAGGGCCACTTTACTGATGGCATCATGTCAGAGTGCTGTCGAACAAATCGGGCTGTGAACTTACCAGAGGTTCTGCAGAATGCCTTTTTGGTTGCGGTCCCTCCCCCTGTTCCCTGAATAAGCTGCATCCTGAAGCCGCCGGCCGAGCTTTGTTGCCTGTGTCATTTGGGTTCCGTTCTCTTCGAGAGGATCGACCTCTATTCCTCTTCATTTTTTCGGGAGAGCCCTTGGCTGGTTTTTGAACGACTTGTGGACTGCCTAGATTGTATACGTCCGGCAAACTGAAACCTTCCCAGGGCCGATCAGCGTCCCTCAACCAAGCCCACACCTGAGCTTCTTTAGTCCGATCCCCGGTAGAGACCGCTATAATCTTGATGCGAGTCTTGCCAAGAGAAGCCCTCGCTTGACTGTGGCCTATTGTCTCAGTGCTGTGCGTGGAGGCATAACCACCCTTGGAGGGTACAGTGCGTGGCCAGCCGCTGTGAAACGAAGTTGTCAAGACTTTCTTCCGGCTACTGCGTCTGAGATGCGTTGCTTTTGGTGGACCCATAACATTAAAATCGTTGCCAGAACACTTTCGTATTGATTGTTGTCTACTTCGTCCCTCATCGGTATGAAATCCTCCTGGCTCCTTCTATACTCTACCATGGCATGCGGCTCAAAAGCAACTCGATCCCTTCAAAGATCTTAGGTACCCACATTCGTGCCCAAAGCAGTGAACTGTGCCAACTGCTAGTCGTACATCAAGATTATTGCTGGACACAGCCGTGTGAGTACGGCCCCTGGTTCTACTGGAGGCTGGCTCTGCGGACACTACGCCTCAGGGCTGTGGACTTTCTTGTGACGCTATTTAGATTAGAGGGGAGAATTATGAATTGCACTCCCCTATAATGCTGAATACTAATGACACTTCCGGCTCGTCGGCTTTCAACCGCCCTGTCCAACAGTCGGCAGGTCTCATAGACGCTGTGAGGCAGACAATCCTCAGCACCCAGCCATTGCCACTGCTATGACTTGTTCCCTAGCACTAAATCGCAGACCGAGTGGATTCGTGGCCACGCATATTTCATATACGTGGAGTGGCCCCAATGGAAATGGTTTTATTGCAAAGGCCCAAATACATGCGTCTTGCTGGTCGCTGTGCAGGAAACCGCCCGAACCAAAAGTGCTGTATGTCTTCTGTGGCTGCCTGGCTTTGCTTCTGGTATCTGGCACACAGTCCTGAGATCTACTTGAGCAAAGCCTGGCTAATAGTTTGATGAAGCTACACAGATTTCCTCAGCATCGCCCCTTTTTTCACCACATCATGACGTCCATTGCCCTTTCACGCGCACTCCCCACAGCATGACAGTAAGCAACTGCAAAAGGCCTAGCATACCGAGAGGATTCTACTCACATGCGCGAACTTCAATGTCCGGAGGTTAAGTGCAGTGGTCGGCTTTCAAAAATCTTTTGACTAATATTTGCGCCACTCTCTGGATTCCAGAGTGTGAGTTTTCTGGTTTCTATACAAACACCCGCCCCTTAGGCAACCACTTTGTCGAGCTTTCTACCAATCATTAGGTTCTCTCGTATCAAATCACTCAAGATACTTTCTAGGGGCGTTCTCGGAATTCGGAATCTCAGGCGCTTCTGATGCCTCTCTGAATTGCTGAAACTAAAAGAGTTTCTCGGCCTGATTTCTTATTCGAAATTCAGTCACATGGAGATAAGTGGAATGAAGAATATCTGTGTTTGACCCGCTCACATTAAGTTCTGGCTCCTAACACAAATCCCTGAATGACATAAAGCCGACTTGAGACGTTGCGTCCATCACAAGATCATGAGTTCAAAATTGGCAATTTCACAAACGGCTTCGCTTTATGCTTCATCTGGTAGGTTTGGTCTGGATTCTCGACTCCTTCAAGTCGAGTGTTTCTCCCTCTGGCACATACCGTCATTGTCGCTGACAACACATCTACCTCAACTTTCAACCACTACATTATCAGAAAAGCATATTGTCAACCATTGGAAAAGAAAAATTCAAATGAACTCATTTCCATGGTCTTTTCAACCTTGACAAATGTGAGGTGTCGTCGATCCGATCTGACGGTGATTGGTCGTATAGACGCAGAGCCGCGCCAGTGGTATTACCAGGTCCACGCACGAAGCACCGGAGCACTAATTGAACAAACCTGGCATTGGTAGACGCACCACGTGGCAGACTCACAGTAGTCTAATTGCCGATAGCGACCTGGTCCTGGGGATCTACTCACTCGTCACACATGATTGCTAGACGTGCAACGACCCAAGAGCCGATCAGTTGGCTTGTGCTTGGCGAAGGATCTCGTACAAGTACAACTTATACAACCTGGAGAGTTGAGGCTACCAGTTGGGCCGGGATCAATGTCATATGTGTTGGGTTCAAGAATGCATTGGGCCGCAACAAATGTACCGTTCAACTCAATGTGACCCAAAGTCCCAATGACTGGGCCATACAATTCAAGCCTTAGCCAACCACCTATCTATCTCACAAAACACGGTGAATACGCCGGAGCTTTCTGAAAAGCAGTGAGGGTATTCCGCAATAATGATTCGAGCGTCCCAGAACGTCCAGGCGAGACTAGCTCCTCGTCAGCCTCACTTTTCTCGGCCTGCGTATTCATATCGACCAGTCGATTACGTTGCACAAATTACATCCAATCAAGGAGATGTGATGTTGCTGCGTTTTCTATAACTCACATGTTATCGATCATATGTAGACTCGATTTGTGCTCCCGATATGTTGCACAAGCGCGAGAGGGTGTGAACTCTTCAGGGACCAGGTTTCATATGTGAAGAACTTAGTGATAGATCATACAAGAGAAAAGATTACATATTGGGCCATCCTGAGGAAGCTAATTGGACCGGTCAATCAGAATTTTGATGCCTAACAAACTCAAAGTTGCTTTGCTGGTGAACGTCACTGATGTGATGTGATGTAAGATGCATGAGCAGTGCTGACATATTGAAAACTCGGTGACTCTGCTCCCTCGGGAGTAAATCCTAGTGCTATTCGCTTATGACGATTAAGTTTGCGCAGAACAGACTTAATGCTATGACCCCAGCTCTCTCAAAGCCAAATATTAGAGGTTGATATGCAGGAAAAGTTAGACCGGTAGTACCGCCTAACAAGCTGTCAATCTGCCTAATGAGCAAAGACGGAGGAAGCCCGGAAGGATCCACTTTTCCCGGCCGTGACACATGGACAACTCTTCATGCGCCTGCCTTGACTCGGTAGATACCATCGTTTAATTTTGAGCATCACAATGCCTTTCTAAACTAAGTTCGAGGCTTATTCTTGTTTTTCATACATACAGTGGAATTGGCCAGTAAACTCACTTTGGTTTCTACAGTGTTGACAGGCGAGTGTCTGAGGCATAGAAGCCCTGAAGCCTCAACTGAAGCCTTCGACACATTCATAGCACTTAAAGAGCCATGCAAGCTCCATATCACAATGTATTAGGGAGGAAAAGTAAGTTAGATCAATCGTCGTAATAAAATTTATACAAGATATGCAACTGAAAAGCCAGCGCACAATCTATTTACAAACAGAAAGCCATCTGCAAAGATGCAGTTTCATCGCCCTCCACTGGGGAGGGACAAATTCGTTTTTTTGCTGGCAAAGAAGTCCATGGACACGTCACGGACGTATCGTATGTTGCTCACTCCCCACTGCTCAGAACTCTTTCGAGCTCTTTACAGAGATCGGCGGGCAGCGCGGCGAGCACGGCGGCGCTTGGAAGAGCAGCCGGTCTTGGGGGGAGTGACGGGAGCAGAAGGAGCCTCAGTGGGAGCAGAGGCACCCTCGGAGGGTCGGACAATGGTGGCGAAGGTAGGAGTAGGGGCGGGAGCCTGAGTCTCGGAGCCGGCGTTGCCACCAGCGGGCTGGGTAGCAGCAGGGGCCTCAGCAGCAGCGGAGGTAGCGGCGGAGGTAGCGGCGGGGGCCTCAGCGGCGGCGGAAGTGGCAGCAGGAGTCTCGGGAGTGGAGCCGGAGTCGGAGCCGGAAGAGGTACCCTTCCAGACAGCAGGGCCGGGGATGTCGTAGGTGGTGTAAGAACCGTAGAGGTTGAAGACAATGCCCTTATCAGTGGAGGTGTAGCCCTTGTTGAAGTCGAACTTCTCATCAGGGACAGCAGTGCCGGAGCCAGTGACCTCAACCTGAGCGCAAGAGGGGTAGAACTGAGCACCGCGAGCGGGGTTGGAGGCGTAGGCAACATCGGACTCATGGTGAGCGATGATCTCCTGGCGGACAATGTACTTGCCAGCCTTCAGGGCAGAGGGAAGAGTGAAGGTGGACTTGCCCTTGGCCTTGATGAGCTTGTCAACAGCCCACTCACTGCCATCGTAACCGTCCTCAGCGATCTTGGTCCAGATAGCACCAGTGCCGTCGTTCTCGGTGTAGGGAGCAATGTAGGTGATGATGGGACCCTTGTGGCTGCCATCGATGATATCATCTCCACGGTTATCGTGGTACCACTCGAAGGTGAGCTCGTCACCGGAAGCAGCCTTGACGAACTTAGGGGCAGCCTTGCCACCGTTGACGTTGCAGACGAGGTCAGGGCTGGTGAGGTCCTTGACGGGAGAGTTGCTGGCGGGAGATCGGATGTAGACGTTGCGTCCATCACCCTGGTCCTCGCCGTTGACCCAGAGGCCATAGACCTGAGCGTGGGCCGAGACGGTGGTGGCCATGGCCAGAGCAGCAGCGGAAGCGGAGAAACGCATCTTGATAGATAGTTATATGTTTGAGTTGATGTTGGTTAAAGGATTGGATGAAGCGAGAAGTCGCGGAAGTGAAAAAAAAGTTCGAGCTTCGGTGGTTTGTTAGAAAGAATGAAGGTTTGGCACAGCCAAATTGAAAGAAAGTGAAGATAGAAAGAAGAAAGACTGATTTTGCTACGACGAGTGTGGAAAGGAAGAAGAGAAGGTATTGGGACGACGAAGGATGTCGACTTATATATCAAATCTCGACGCCTTGGGCTTGAGATTAGGCCCTGGCTCCAACTATTCCTGTTCCTATCCTATTCCATCCTGTTCCTCTCCAGGGCGGAAACTACGGTCAGCCCCACCACAAGGATCAGCTCACTTCAGTTCAGTTGACTTCATCTCGTCAAGAAGCCATGCCATAACCTCAAACATGGTGTGCTGGGACCATCTCCAGCGAGTGACAGTTGAATCTAGATCAGATCAGGGAACAAAATCTACCCTCAGGAGAACTTAGAAGGATCCCTTGCTGTTCAGGCGTCTCGCCTTTGGTGCGTACCCCATAACGACATAGACATTGATAGACGGAAAAATAAGCTCGCTTGCAGCAAACGCATAGCGGAAATTGAAACCCTTGGGCCTGGGCCAGGGCTGGCTTACACTACAGACGCTAGGCCCTGGGCCTGCTGTCAAAAAAACAAGGCGTTACGCTAACCCCCTGCCAAGTTTGGTTTGAGGCTCTACAGGATGCTCCCATGATTGGACGAGTGTCTAACGGTGAAACCTAGCCCCTGGGCACCTTTAATATCGGGGCACACCCCATTGGAGCGATCCCGCCTACGCCACCGTTCCCGTCCACCGTTCAAGTCTAAAATATCCCAGGCATCGGCGAGTCTATTCTTTTCGAGAAGTAGGCGCCGGTAAACGATGGGAATTTCGATTCTCTTCCTCTCCTGTGGTCTTGGCAGATCCGCTTCTTCACCTGAAACCGTAGAATTGCCATCTCCGACTGGGGGAGAATTTTGTATGTGCGACCGAAATATTTTGGTGTCTGGTTTCAAGGGGTTATGCGAAGACGATAGGTTTTCGTTTTCCTCGGGGAGTTGCATTCCCTTGAAACGAGTCGTGTATGTTTGTACGATGCGAGGATGGCTTCGGACGAGAAATGCAAACGAGAGTGTTTTGAGAAGTTTGGTGTTTCTTGTCTGTCAGATCAAGATAAACAACGTACAATCAATTCAAAACGATAAAACGCTACGAAACGAAGAAACAGGATATATTTGATGAGTGTCACTTGAACTAGGTTGCGAAAACCATTGTCTGTGTTTACGACGGGTATACGTGGTTGTGAATAGTCACAAATGACAGTCTGATTAAACTTCGAGTTAACTATACTCAGCATTAAGTTTAAGCATAGAAACCAAAGCTTGAAGGTAAATACTAAGCTTGAATAAAGGATGAACCGACCTGACAAGGGCCTGTCAGAGCTTATCTCCCTGTGCAACGTAGTCCTTGTACCCTCTCTAACACAAGCTGTTTGAGGTGCGGCGCTAAGAAAATACTACCCTACAGATCGACAATACAACATCGGGAGCGTAACGACATCTGCCATTGCTACTGTAACTACAGAAGGATTGGAAGAATATTCTAGATAATATCAGAGATATAGATAAATACTATAGAAAGATTCAATTGGTGTATTGCTAGTAAAGCACAGGATCAATCATAGGAACTGAAAATAATAAACAACAATGCGAGTCATGGTGCATAACCCATCAGTTTTATGCTTGCCTACAGAGTATCAATGTCTGTTGGTGATGCAGAAAATTAATGCTATGCAAACCAGGGTATTACGGCCCGAGAAGTCCGTCTCGATAAACGTGATTCGGAATGACGAACCGCAGAGCCGCTCTCCTTACGAGAACCAACCTGCCGGCTCTGTTTGGGATGTCCACTCAATCCGATACACATCCCAGCATCTCTAGATTAAAGTGTCCTCATAGAGTAAGAAAATACCAGACCTTAGTATAAGGTATTAAAATAAACTCTATAAACTATATTCTAAAATGGAATAAAAGATATTAAATTTATATAAATTTACCTAAATCTTTTTATTATTTACGATTAAGGTCTTAAGTTTTCTTTCCCTCCCTAGAGTGTCACCCTAATCCGTATCTCAAGGATGAGGTTAACTGCAAACATATAGATTTCTATAGATATTGTATATAACTATAGGTTAACTTGAAGTGAAACGAAAAACGGCTGATAGAGTTTCCTTACTATATATTCTCTAGCGATTACTGTCGCTATGGGAAGATATTCTTCGAGACGACCTGTATTAGACAGTACCCTATTCCTCTCAACGAGCAACTCGCTCACTACACAAAGCTTCAACTGAGTATGCACAGCATACCAACTTGAACTCCTTCTTCTCCGTAGTGGTTTCCCTGGAACGTGACTTGATGTTCCAACTTGTATACTCTGAAGCGAGCTTCCGATAGCTGCAACCACCACCAAGCCAATGCCTGCCCTTCTTGAACTTCAATTTCCGAATGCACTCTCGACTGACTATCACTGGTCGGCCGTTCCTAATATCCTCTGACTGCAACTGGTCATATGGGTCATCGGAATCGTAGTCCTGAACGAAGGCATACGAACTTCGGAGGCGCCTTCGGTCGCAAGGGGATGCAAGCTCGCTCATACAATGTAGCGAACCTTGACAGCACCCCATGCATTCCCACCATCGGCTCAAACGCGCCACCATATCCTCTCTCCAGCGTGGTCCAATGCGTAACTGATATTTCTTCGCTTCCCATCGAAAATTCCATTCGACGAGACTCGTGCCGTTCCAGTAGTACCGAATACCATTGGGATAGTGCTCTAACCAGAGGGAGGAAGAACGAGACTCAAGAGCAATTGTTGGAGAAGCAGTGGCCCAAGGAACCGCACGAAGATGCGAACATGTTTGTCGCAGACGGAGAGCTTCCCCTGTCGCGTAAGGATCAAATAGTGCCCTCAGGTAACGATTGATCTTGCTAGAAGCTCCAGCAAGTCCACCACTATCTCTTCCAACATACCATTCATGGTGGCTGAAGTAATTAAGTGGTGACAAAAGCATCGTCTTGAAACGATGCAAGCGCAACATATCCAAACAGCCTCCGACAGGGCCAACCAAGTTGTCTAACATAAATTGATACCTGGCCCTGAGACTCTTTGTGTGGTAGTTGATATGCTCCCAGGCCAGCTGGTCTGGAGCTCCCACATTACTAACGCCAGACAATTCTGGGTCGTATATGCTTTTTACATCTGCAACTAGCATCCTGGCCGCATACGAGGCGATGTTCTTCTGGAAGTCGAGAAGTGTCTCCTTGAACTCCTTTCGCAAATAGCCAGGCACGGTATTGCGAGCTGGTAGCTGATAGCCTCGATGCCCATGACTCCGTACTGCTCTATCGTGAAGAATCGTGGGCACACTTAGCAGTCTAGCCCAAAAAATAAGAAAGTACTCGTAGAAGTAGGGCATCTGTGCCCGGTCTGTTATATGCTGCCTTAAAGGATCCTCGAGTATCTTCGTTGCTCGGTACTCCCAGAAGTTCTTTGCCTCTCTTGTTGACTGGCTGGATTGCACACCTTCAGTGGTAAAACAAATGGTGATTCTGGCGTCTGAGGGCCACCCCTTGTTTTTGCGAAACTTTGACCTGTTGCAGATGTAGGCGTAGACATCATCCATCTTGGCAAACATCATCATAAACGCCCCGAAAAAGTGACCTCGTCTTGGGGCACGTAGTGCCACGAAGATGCCGTCAATATTTCTCATCCTGCCAAGACGCAAAACCATGGGATCACTCATATCCTGCATGGCGCTCACAGCGTGGCGAATGTGACCATTTTGCTTCCAGTAGTAATCAAACTTGAGCCAAATTCCATGGTCGTACGTCGAGTCTACTAGGATCTTAAGCTTGTGAAGTTCGTTGATATTGTCAGGGAGCTGACAGTAAGGAGAGAATTCGTCTCTGGTTTGACGGCAACATCTCAATAGTCCATTTGCATCTCCGGTTGAGGCTGAAAAGCCCCTGATCATCTCCCTTAACTCGAAGGGAAGGTAAAGTAAGCGACTTATGTGCATCAAAGTGCCCATTTTGTTGGAAGACTTGGTGTTTTTACGAGTTACGAAGAGGGACACAGAGGACAGAGGGTTTCCGTCACGTAAATCCCCTTTTTATGATGGGTGCATATTGACTTTTATTTCTTTGGACATGAGTGACTCACTCTAAGAGAGTTTTAGGCCAAAAAAATAGCTCTCAAGCATTCGAACTTTTATTTAGACATGGTTTTGGTAGAACTACTCTAAATTATGACGTTGTTCCTCTAAAATTGCCTAAAACTAACTTCAGCTGGGAGTCCTTTGGCATTCCTGATACGTTTGTGCGATCAGATCACAACTCATATATCATCCCTTTAAAACCCCCAGCTCTTCATAAGCAGGTATTCTCCAAGTCCCTTTATTCTCCGGCAATACAGCAAGAATCGCCTTATCAATCTTAAGCTTGGTGACAAGCCCAATAATCGAGTACTGCAACTTGATCCCAAAGTTCGTCTTTGGATATGCGATACCGGGGACAAACGACGGCAGTTTTTGAGACTTCTCGATGTATGGTCTCAGAGTATCTTCATACGCCTTGAGAGCTCTGGGGATATCATGGCCATGTCTCGCAATTTCTCCGCTGAGAACACAGGCTCCTATCAAAGCGAGTGTAGTTCCCACACCCGTCAGTGGAGATGGAGCATATCCTGCGTCACCCAGCAGAACAACTCTCCCCTTTGACCAAGTCTTAGTCTTGATCTGCACGATAGACTGTGCGTAAAAGTCTTCGGTCTCGTGCATAGCCTTGATGAGTCTCGGAGCCTGCCACCCTGCATCCTTAAAGATCTGTGCAAAAAGCCTCTTCTGAGCGTTGACGTCCTGACTCATGACCTCCTTCAGCTCTTCCACATGGGACATTGTCATAAGATATGCTTGACCTCTATCCTTCGAATGCCAACGCGTTGAGATCACGCGGCGGCCTGGGGCGCTGTATACAGTGGCAAGATTTTTATCGCCTGCTTCCCGTGGCAGATTATAGTAACATCCATTCAGATTGAGGTCGCGCACATGAACAGCTTCAGGGTCATCAGCGAATAGCTTTCGTCGGACTCTCGAGCCTTGACCGTCTGCAGCAATGACAAGATCGTAGCTCTCGTGAGCTCCATCCGAAAATATGACCTTCACCTTATCGCCAACATTCTCAAAGCTCTCAATCGATGTTCCGAAGCGATATTGGGCTCTTTGTCTCGTCACCTCGTATATGATCTTGCACAAATCTCCTCTCATGACTTCGAACTCACTTGTGAATGATTGTCTCCCTTTCCCCGAATCATTCCTTTCAAGTAGAGCCTTCTGCTTCCCTTGCGAATCAACCCATTGCAGACCATCTTCATCAACTGCTTTGTTTCGGATCTCTTCAAGGATACCCATGCGCTTCGCAGCTTCAATGCCTTGGCCGCGAATGTCAATCTGTTGACCTCCAGTGCGTAGTGAGGGGAATCTTTCTATAATGGTACAAGAATGGCCGAGACGGGAGAGCCAGAAAGCGGCAGATGGACCAGCGATGCCACCGCCTGAGATGAGAATTCGAAGTTTTGACATTTAGAAACACGCCGTGTCTAATAGCAACCGCTATACGTGGAAATGCAGTGCATGAATCTCGCTAATTTAGGCGCCGTGAGTATGCTTATAAATGAAAGAGTCGTGACAGACCCGGGAAATTTACAACTAATGTTGAATGTGGTCAAGATAATCAGGGTCTCTACCTATAAATGGCTGCTTCGTCAAAATTCCGGCTGGAAATGTAGGTGTCATTGACTTTAAGGATTCAATCCTGGGCTAGCCTGGCAACCAGGAATTAAAATGGGACAAGTGTCTGTGCTGAACCTAGAATAGTTACCACCTTAATAACAGATGGGTTCAGGGCTACTGTAGAGAAAGTTTGACTGTAATATATCTTGTTATCACGTAACTGAAGGTCGGCAAGAACATCAACATCGATGTGTTGTCTTAAGCACCCATTAAGTACCAATCTATTACAAGGGTGCCCCTTCAAATCTGTCTAACACAGGAGGCACACCAAAGCACTCTTCCCTAATCGTGCTCATTGATAGATCTACCTGAATTCACTGTAAATCGCTCAGTGTATCTGTCATGACCGCATGATTCGAGTCAACGTCCATCTGGCTTCCATCATTTTGACCCAGACGCATCCGCCTTCTTTGATTGCACAGCATCATCCACAGTGGGCGGAGCAGGAATATCGACACCCTCAACACGATATTCAAGCCCCGGATAAGCATCGCTGACAACAAGAACGTCGAACTTGCGGGCCTGGCCTGCCTGAGCCGGAGGGAGCTTGATGGTTGTCTTCGCCGTGGGTCGACCACCAGCCTCGAGCTTGCGATTGGGGTTCGTGGTCCAACCCACACGCTTCACTGCAATGACTTCGTCCCGTGCCAAATCAGCCACGATAACGAACCACGATTCTGTTTGTGGTTTAGGGAACTTGGGTGCGTAGATGCGAGCCTCTCGCTCGACCAGCTGGTTGAGACGCTTAAGACCAATGGTCACTGAGAGTGCCGTGGCTGCAGCGATGGATACCTCGACGTTAGGTAGGATAGATACCGCACGAGCGAAACGGTTGTGCTGGCTCGCAGATACACCAAGCTTCTTAGCAAGTTGCATCGCCTGAGGTCTAGTCAGCGCGCTGATCTTAGCAATTGGTATATCGTTCTTGACGTCAGGCTCGATCGTAGGTAAGATGGACACTGGTGCATCAGTAGGCCAACGAGCCGACTTGATCGACTGGAGAAGAGCCATCATTTGCAGGCAACTGGACAGATAACCAAGCTCGGTCAGAACATCGATGGAAGCCTGTATGACACGGATAGCCTGATCGAGAACACTCGTCTGATCACCAACATAATCAGTGATTGGAAGGTCTATCTGAGACATATGTGCTTGAAGAAGCAGGAAAGCCTTCACGTGAGGATCCCACATAGGCAGCCCAAAGGCGTGGCCAGGGAATGGCAAGTTGTCCGAAAGAGTGTTGTTTATGAGGTCTTCATTATGGCGCACGGGGAGTTCGTCGTACTCGGTAGCGCGGGACATCCATGACAAAACGTCCAGGAATGAAGCTTGAGCTTTCGCGTGCTTGACAAGGTGGCGGATCGTCTTGTGCGAGAGGTAGTAGTAACTCATGATCTTGCCAAGAGGTGTGGGATCAACGTCGCCATTGGGGAACACCTCAACACATTTAGAGTCAGCAAGCTCGTTGAGTGACTTGCTAACCATCTCAATCATGTATTCATTAGCAAGCTGCTGAGCAGCGATGCTATTGTGCTCCTCAGCAGAAATCTCGAGTCCGTAGTACGACGGATTCTTGTGTAGTCGCCTGAAGAAGAATGTCCATGTGAGATAGTCGAGCGCGTCCTGTTTGGTGACAATGGTCTCAGCCGAGACTTCGGCGCAAAGATGGTTATCCAAAACGGTGTGAAGCGAGGACTCTACCGGGAAGCCAGTGTGAAGGAAGTGCTTGTAAAAGTCCTTCTTGGAATCCTGGGTAAAGATACGTGCAACTCCCGAGTTATCGAACTGAGGACGACCGGCACGACCCAACATTTGCAGAACATCGGTCAAGTCCATGTCTTTGTATGCCTCAATTTTGGCATCGAAGAATTGTGTTCCTTTGACGACAACCAGATGAGCAGGCAAGTTGACACCCCAGGCGAGAGTACTAGTGGCGACCAGGATCTGGATCTTGTTGTTCAAGAACAACTCTTCAGCAAGCTGACGATCCGACTCAACTAGACCTGCGTGATGTAGACCAATTCCAAAGTTGATGGCTTCCTTCAGCGCGTCATCCTTGACTCGAGCAAGGTTAAGCTGCAAATCATCTTCATCCATGTGAAGGAATCGTCGGGGGTTATCTTCCATACCACAAAAGTTGATGAGATCCTTTGCAGTCAGACGAGTTTGTCTTCGCGAGGGAACGAAAACAATGACGGGCTTGTCAGGACTGTGATTCTTAACAGCCAAGAAGGTGGGGCGATTCATAGACTGCATCAAAGGACAGAATCCCCTGACTTCTGGGAAGCCATCGATGTATAATTCCAGAGGAACAGGACGGACTGAGTGCTTAAAGTTGAAAAGACCTTCTTTGACACCTAGCCAGTTACCCAGGTCTGTCGCGTTGGCGCAAGCAGTTGACATACCCAGGAGACGGACGGCATTCTTGGTCGAGGAAGCGATGTAGTTCATACGGGACACAATGATCTCGAGAATAGGCCCACGATCTCCAGCCAGAAGATGAATCTCGTCAATAATGACCAGGCTCACTTGTCGAACGTACCCTCTTGTCTGCCATGAACGAGAAATACCGTCCCACTTCTCAGGCGTGGTGATGATGATATCAGCGTCCTGGATAGTTCTAGTATCGGGAGTATTGTCACCAGTTAACTCCACCAACTTCAAGCCCAGTGGTCGCGCCAATCTAACTCCCCAGTCTTTGACTCGCTCGCGGACAAGTGCCTTCATTGGCGCAATATAGACAACCTTTGACTTGGGTCTTTCACGGAAAGCCCACCACATGGCAAGCTCTGCAGCAACAGTCTTGCCGCTACCAGTGGGTGATCCAAGAAGCACATTGGCAGGCGTATGGTAAAGCGTGTGGAAGATTTGCGTTTGCATGGGGTTGAAGTACTCGAAGCGCTTGGCATAGAGTTCTTCAAGCGCAGGGTTCTTGAGGGCCGAGATAGGTAGTGGTTGAAGATTCAGGAGGTCAGTATAGACGCTTTCAGTGTCTGGACGGATGAGATGCTGGAAGGAGACCGGGGTGACGGTCTCAGCTCCTAGCCATCTGTCTGAGACGGCTCGGACGTATATCTGGCTAGGCAAGGGATCAGAAAGGGGAATTGTGAAGTTTAGCTCATGATCATCATGTAACTTTCTTCTGTTTAGGATGAAAAATTCATGATGGTATATCTCTGAAGTCTCAGAATTCTCGACCCAAATGTAGAACGATTCTGAGGTTCCATGAATCTGGTCGTGCCATCGGAAATCGGGAATAACATAGAGCTTAATACGCAACACATCTCGGTTTAGGGGAGCGATTTCAGCCTCGACGTGAACAGTCGGAAAGTTGTTCAGGATCTTGGCAATATTCTTGCCGGCACTCTGGTTGTGGATCAAACCTCCAATCTCTGCAGGCTCCATGTCTTTCATGGTCTCAATTGTCAAGTTCTCTTTCGCGTCGAGCTGGTTCAGGACCGACTTTGCAAGGTCAAACTGATGAAGAGGATGCTGGTAGGGCCAGATGCGCTTTTCAATCGACTTTGCCAGAGTTAGAAGCACGAGGCACTGGTGACCCCATCGGCGATTGAGGGCAAGCATGAAGAGTGCTCGACAAATACGCCCAGACTGCTGAGCAACGTAGTTCATGTCATTTGAGAGGGCGAAATCTTCCGGCTGCGCTTTCGAGATGTAAGACTGTAGCAAAATGTTTGTTTTTGCCTGAGGGGTGTCAATGCCTCCATCCACATCACATGGGATGATCTCTCGACGTAGATGAGTCAACTCCTTCTCCTCACTATCTCTGGATTGGATGTTGTCAAACTCTCCACTCATACTGATCATCTTTAGAATGTCGGCCTCTGTGGCCTGAGGTTGCATCATGGCGTTGAAAACTTGGATACTTGTGTGGAGAATATAGTATTGACTGGCAATTCTTCCGATATCCTTGCTGCGCAGCTCATCTGTCCTTTCATTGTAGATAATCATCTGGCATTGCTGCAAGGTTTTGGCAGCCTGAATAGCAAGCTGACGGCGTCTTTGAACCAGGTTTGGGTCGTCGCGAATTTCTGACCATTCTATGCCATAAGACATTGGGCTCCTTTGCATGCGCACGAAGAGGTACGAGTATCCGATCCACTGGACGGCGTCCGGAATAGAAGTGACAGTTCCGAGTGCGATTTCAGCATTCAGATTGTCAACTAGCTTCGTCGAGAATTTCGATTCGATGGGCTGCTGTTCCGTCACGGCAGTCAGGTAATGGGTTAGCTTGTCGTGGGTTGTGCAGATCATGCCGATACCAGTATCTTCGAATTGAGGACGACCAGCTCGACCAAAGATCTGCAGTACGTCAAGAATTCCCAGATCGACAAATTTACCATCCTGGGCGCTGTAAACCTGAGTTCCCTTGATTACGACTGCTGCGGCAGGCAAGTTGACACCCCATGCTAGAGTGGCGGTACAGCAAAGAACCTTCAGGACACCCTCTCCAAATAGTCTTTCCATCAAGTTTCGGTCAGATCTTGCCATTCCAGCGTGGTGAACACCAATGCCCTTGGATAGGAGCTCACGAATCTCCTTGGACTTGGACTGCTTGATATCACGCGACGCTTGCTCAAACCCAGGATGATAGCTTGGGTCAAGGAGATCTGCACACATGGCATCAATGGCCTTCTGGTGCAGCATTCGCGCTGTAAACTGCGTGTCTCTTCGTGAGTGAACGAACACCATGACTTGATGATCACGCTCGAGCATCTCTTTGACCTTGTCAAAAGCGACCTGATCAAGATTCTCCTTCGATTGCTTTGTTCCAGCCTTTCCTTTGACGCCGATGAAATGTTGTTCCAAAGGAACAGGGCGGAAGGACGAGTCGAAGTAGAATAGGCCTGCATATTTGTTGACTTTCAGGAAATCGGCGACATCGACATAATTGGGTAGTGTGGCACTGAGACCAACAATTCGAATGAGAGACTGCGTACTCTCAACCTGCCGTTCCGTTCGAGCCACAAGGGATTCTAGGACAGCGCCTCTCTCATCATGAAGCATATGTACCTCGTCTATAATGAGAAGACGAACTTTTTGAACAAGTTCCGTGTCTCCAGTGCCCTTGCGTGTGACGACATCCCATTTCTCGGGTGTCGTAACAATAATTTGAGTCTGGATGATTTCAGACTTGGTGAGCTGCATATCTCCAGTGTACTCTCGACATTTGATACCAAGCCAGGCCAGTCGCTTGCCTAGCTTCTCTGTAACCTCAGCAGCAAGCGCCTTCATGGGAGCAACATAGACGATTTTGAAGTCATCGGCGTTGACAGCAAATTCTGTGGCTGACGGGTCTTCGAAGGGGTTAGGCTCAACATTCTGTGCAATTGTTTGAAGAATGGTAAGCATAGCAGCATCCGTTTTACCCTAGTCATATTAGTAGCTGAGAGTAAATGTTGGTCCAAGTGGACTCACAGCACCAGTAGGAGCACATATCAACATGTTCTCACTAGTCTTATGGGCAACAGGATAGACAAGACTCTGCATACGGTTAAGCGTCTTGTAGCCCTTGAATGTATTCCGGCACAACCCATTGAGTTCCTTGACAGGAATAAGCCGCTGTCCAGGGCCCAGTACACCCTTCTTGCCAGCGGGGATAAAGTACTCCTCGTACTTGTCAAACGATAGCCGCTCACTGCCAACTGGCAGTCCGTACTTTTTACCGGCATAGCTCAGGGTGTTTCCAGCGCTGTATGCTTTATAGACGTGTGGGTATTGGGGTTCCTTTGAATGTGCTGGTGCAAGAGTTGCAGATTTGTGTGCTTGATCTTGGCGACGCAGGTTTTCTTCTCTTTGAGCCTTGGTCAGGAGTCGAGGTTCGCTGGAGCTCCCCTGACTCTGACTTTTGACAGCTGAAACGATCTCATTTCTGTGACCCAGTATCTCGATGATAAAGTCAAGATCATCAAAGCCTACCAAGTCAGTAAGCTGGATCTGGAGCTCATCGTCAGAGCGATTAGAGTTGAGAACACTCATGATTTGGCTCTCAAACACATCAGCAGACAGTCCATTCTTGGCTGCGATGGCTGAACATCTAATTGCAAACCATTCGGCACCGTAATCTGCCACAACTGATCCATCTGGGGCGTCTCCATCAGCGAAGTCGCTGCTTAAGGCTTCCTGGTCGTCATCTGAGATAAAGTCCCAGACATCCTGGCCGCTATTTCCACTGGAGTAACCACCAAATTCGTCATCATCGATATCATCTTCGACTGATCCATTCTCTTGAGGAATTTTGAGGTTGGCGATAGCTTCTTGCATAGCCGCAAATTGTTCGCGCCATCGTGCCTCTGCGGCACTAAGTTGCGAGGATGCCATGATGTAATCGATACTATCCAGATGAGAGTTGTTACGTGTCGGCCAGTGGGAAAGTCTTGTGATGCTGTATGAACACAGGAATGTGAGGTAAAAGAGTCGTTATTCTGCTGCCTGTAGTTGTCGGGTGGCAGCCAACGTCCTTTTGACGTTGTCCTTGATCGAAAAGGATTGGTTCATGACGGTGAATTGCTTGTTCTTCAAAGAGTCATACCGCTCTGGGTCGAACAAATACCCCACTAAACAAGCCCCCGCCTAGCCGCCAGTGGGCTGTAATGCTTACAGCCACTAACTGCCCTTGGAAATTCAGCGGCCTAGTCGAAGAGCCCGTCTGCGTCGTGGGGAACATGTGACGCCCCTAAAGTCAGTCCTTAGTTACGGTGACGGAGTGACAACATTCAACCAAACTTCAAATCCTCCCTATCCTTCAACTCTCTCTCTCTAATCATCCAATCCTTCCCTCCCGCTATCGCCCAGCTGCGCGCTCCGCCTTCGACTTATTACCGCCGCTTCTCACAAACTTGATCCCGCAATCATGAAATTGCATTACATCGGCGTACGCTGTCCCTGTGCCCCTCACCGATCGATCGAGACCTCCGTCCAGTTGGGCTAACAAAGCTGCTGTGACCAGATCCTTCGCAACGAGAGCCAGCCGGCTCATGAGATCGTCGCTGAGAAGGAGCTCAGCAGCTATTCGCGATTCACCCGCAACAAGTCAGTCCCTACCTTATCATTGCGACCGCTATCTCCGTATCCGGACGGTCCATGGACTGACTCGCAAACTTGAAACAGCTATGGCGAATTCATGACCCTATTCGCAAAGACCGTCGCCGAGCGCACCCGCCCTGGACAGCGACAGGATGTTGAGGAGCAAGGTATGCTTGATTCAGCTCCTTCGAGAAATCACAAGCTTACATGCGCATTCTACAGACTATACTTTCCACGCCTACGGCCGCACCGAGGGTGTCTGCGGTATCATCATCTCCGATCACCAGTACCCTGCCCTTGTGGCACATCAGCTTCTTAGCAAGGTCGTCGACGAGTTCCTCTCCAAGAACCCCCGCTCCAGCTGGGCCACCGGCACACCCGCTCTCTCCATGCCCGAGCTGAAGGAGTACCTCACAAAGTACCAGGATCCCCAGCAGGCCGATAGCATCCTCAAGATTCAGAAGGAGCTTGACGAGACTAAGATCGTTCTCCACAAGACCATCGAGAGTGTGCTACAGCGTGGAGAGAAGATCGACGATCTGGTAGCTAAGAGTGATGGTCTCAGCGCCCAAAGCAAGATGTTTTACCGTATGTCACTGTTCATTCCCAGTTTTTCTTCATCGAAAAGCAACTGACCCATCCCACAGAGCAAGCCAAGAAGCAGAACTCATGCTGTATTTTGATGTAATGGATCATTTCGTTTTTCCGGCGTTGGACCTGGCGTCATTTCAGCATATAAGAGATGTCGGTATTGAGATTGGTTATTCGTATGGCGCAGATACTTCCAATCGTTTTGTCCATCATTCATTCGCAGGGCCATGTCTTTACAGCAGCTAGACTTGTCGAAGAGACGGAGAAGAATCTTATCACAGGCAGGACGATCAAAGGCAGATGAATGCCGAATGGTAACTATTCTTTTTGACGTGTTAAAAACAGTCCCTAGTTGGACGAGTGTGAAATGTTCTCTTATCACCAAGCCTAATCTGATCGAAAGATACACAAAGAAGAATAAAATCCGAGTCTTTTGACCCAGAGTGCTTAAAAAGAAATGACAACCCCTTTGCTTTTTGAAGAAGAAGAAACTCCAACGAGATGCTCTAGGGACGAGTCTGCTGTCCCGTGTCTTGCCCATTCATGCTTCTCTGGCGCCTTGCTGTAAATCCGTAATCCATAATGTCCAAGCATATCCGTCACTGAAAGCGTAGTATACAAAGGAGACAAACGTATAGGAGGGAAAGATACCCTCTGTGGTATGTACAGGACGGCTCAAACCAGTTGAGTCCGCCATGGTGAGATGCTGCCAGAGCATCATGAAAAGGGTATTGTAGAAATCGTGGCCAAGACATAAAATGAAACCGAAAAGGCGATATGGTTGTTCGTCATGAGATTTGAGTTCAAGATTCCTCAAGAATTACTCTCTCACTCTTGCGGTGCATTTGGTAAGCATCAGGAGAGTGAGTCAACTCCCTCGGATGCACCAAGGTAGGGGTCGATGACTTGGTTTCAGCTAGACGCTCATCCTTCTCAATCGGGATGTAACCTGGTCCGCTCGGGCTGCCGTTACCTCGATGTCTCAAGCTGGGGTTGCTCTTTAACGGGTGCAGCATTTTGCGTTGCTGGTGCGAGACGCTGATCTGGCGAGCAATCGAGATCTCAACAGCGTTGCGTAAGGCCTCTTGGGCATCAGCCTCGGGAGCTTGCTTCTTGGGCGAGGCCAATGATGAGGACGGAGAGAATCGCCTCGAGGTTTCGGCGCCGGAGGACGTGATGGAAGCTGGGGGCGAGACCATATGCCACGAGGGTTCCGAAGGCGAAGAGAGCCTTGCCTTAGCTACCTGAACATCTTTCTCGTCGTCTGTGTGTTCAGGAGATTCGGGAACTGTGCCTGGTGAGGGAGTAAACGGAGACGAATGCTTGGGATGGGTGTTGGGCGAGATAATGGGCACAGGTGGCGAGGTCTGTTTTGCAGAAGTAACGCTTATATTCTCCGTAGACGCTGCACTGGGACGTCTGTTGAATTTAGAGACAAGGGCAGGCTGATAATGCGTAGCTTGCGCTGCGAACTTCTTGTGCTGAGATTCTGACCGCGAAACTTGGGCGACTCTTGGCGTAACTGCCTCAGGAGACTCCTCTGAGTGATAATATGATGAGTCCAATAAGGCCGGGGATGTGTTGGCTCGGAACCGAGGTGAAGGCAGAGGCTTTGAATTATCCTGGGAAACAAAAGTTGGTGAGGGTTGTGGCGACGTTGCCCTCCGTGGCCGAAGAGACTCGTCTCGATTCTCGGCGATTGCGTCCTTCACAGACTTCAGATGATCGAGAGTAGCCTGTCGGCGAGCAAGAAGTGAAGAGGCAGACCCTTGCGGTGGCTGTAAAACACTGTTAAACATGACACTATATCGATCCATCTTGATGCTAGGAATCTCAACATCTAGCAGAGAGTGAGGAATAGCGGGCATCGGTGGCGGCGATGAGGGCGGCGGTGCGATTGCTTTTTCTGATCTCTTCTTGCTGGAGTCACCTCGAAGGCCTCTTAGCGACATTTTACGGCCTATACCTCCCGAACCCGGGTCTTTCAGCTTCGATTCCTTTGATGCCTTGCGCTGAAGAGCAGGCTTCTCCTTTGTTAGTTTTCCTGGCGAGATAGGTTTCACCTCCGCCGACGTTGGTACCGACCGGGGCACTTCAGCAATCGTCTGCGCGGGTTCTGATATAATTGGTTCAGTTTGAGATCGAATTACAATCGGCTTATGCTTTGGCATTTTCCGTGAACTCTGATCTGCTGGCGCTGAAGTCGGCATTCCAGAAGAACCTAATGATGTGGTAGAAGTATTGACACTCTCCGTCATAGATCGTTGGGGCTTCTCTGGCCGTGTGGCTCGCTTCGATTTTGATCGAAAAAGACCCCATTTCCGAGCCTTCTGCTGAGTGTCATCGACTGGCTCTGGCACAGGCTCTGGCATCGGCTCCGGGATGTCGACAGCGGCATTCATGGCTCTGTTCTGTGGATTCCAGGGCGCCGGCGCAAAGTCTCCCATTTGTGTTGGACTTCCAATTGCCATACCAACAGCAATAACACCAGTCTCGCCAGAATCTATCATAGAATCCGGAGTTGAAGTTCGTACCCAAGTCGTTCTCGTCAGTGACGAGGTTCGCGGGCTGTGTTCGGGGGATGGAAGTCGGCCATGGATCGGTATATGAAACGCCGTCACGTTGCCCTTCTTTGAGCTCTTGAGAATGAGTGCAAGATCGTCTCTGGAAACCCGCTTGTCGAATGAATGTTTGGAAAGAGAATGACTGTCTGTCCAGTCGGCGGTGAAGCTTCCTCTACGACGTTGATATCCGGAGGCAGCCGATACAGTAGCAGCCCGTGACAGATTTGTAGCCATGACAGAAGTGTCTCGCGACCGCACGAGGGGGTCGTTTTGTAAAGCGTCTAGAATAGATTGACACACAAACAGTGGGTGAAGCAAAGCAGAGCCCAATGCAGCGCGGGGGCGAGATCTATGCTTGGATTTAGAGGATAAAAGGCCTCTGTTTTGACTGAGTAGTTCCCTGCATCGACAGGGTCTGACACAGAAGACGGTTCACCAAGGACCGACTTTCTCAGGGACCAGGATCCTCTTAAACAAAGCCTGCGATGATTTCTGGACAAGAACTGACCCTCGTCTCACAGGGACCACCCCGCCTTTGACGGAAGCCTATCGTATGAAGCCGTTGATGAGAATCGAGACGAATGCGGTTAAACGGCCGGCAACAAGCAGGGAACTGGGTCCAAGATGACGATGGAGTGCAAGGATGGAATGTAATAAGCGCAAGAGCAATTTCGATATCCAAGAGCCGATCCCCGGATTGGTTGCCACGCCTCAGATGAAGCAAAATGAGATGGATGCAAGCGGACATGAGAGAGAAGAAACGTCAGCTTATCATCTGTCCAACGACAGAGATTTTGGAGAGACACCCCATCTTGACATTTACAGGGATCGGTCTTGGGAAACAAGCTAAGAGGCATTGGTCAATGTTTGAGATTGATGGGACGACGGTTCCTGAATGTTGACTTTGAAATCTTTAACGCCCGACGGCATTGATTGCTTCAACTTTCTATGCAACGGCTGCTACGGCCAAGGAACTACTCTGACCAGGGGGGGCCTGTCGAAAGCATATCAAGGAGTGGGCCCTTGGGGGTTCTAAGAGACCCCAGTGTCGTGTGTCAGAGTCGTCAAACCTGGAGGTTCATTTAATGCTTTGAGAGAAATAATTATGCGGTTCGTTGGTTGTCTAGTTGAGGTTTCACTGCTTGTGGCGCTTCTTAGAAGTAACCTTAGCCGCCGCAACGCAACGTACGAGATTGGTGATAATAGAGGCGCTAGCTATAATAATAGCAACGAACGAGGCTTTATAAGCCTTGAGATGGGTACGTACATGTACAGAAGAAGTGTCTCAGTCGGCGAACGCGGCAATCTACGCGGTTGCTGGGATCTCCAACGTCAACGCTGATCCCGATGACACACGCAACCCATTCACACGGACTTACGGCCAAGGCTGGTTACTTCTGTAACAACAAGACTCACAGACATAATGTGACAGCGATTCATGGGGACGATCCTGAGAACTGAATCGTGGTCACCTGTCAACGAGGGACGAAAAAGGATCCGATCCCTGTAAGTGTTCGTTGTCAAGAAAGACAAACAGCTAGGCTGTATTAACACGACACTGTAACCTTCCTCCCAGCCAACGAGCACTGGAAGGGTCTCGTGTACGATACCTCATTTACTGCGCCGTACTGCTTTAACGGCACTTGCATGATGCTCGAGTATGGGGCATGTGCTGAGCTGGTTTTTAGATTAGAGGAACAAGACGCGGAGTATCCCAAACAATATCCACCCTGTCACAGCCCTCTATGAAACACAAGCTTTCGAAGACTACTGCAGGCAAACCTCCACTGCAAAGCATGCAACCATCCATCAGAAGGTCGATAATCATAGCAGTGAGCGAATAAGTGGCTGACCCGTCTTCTAGAATTTTCAGGTGGCGGCACGGAACTTGAACCTACTAAGGTTGCGCGCGGCTCGTGGGCTGGCCATTGGCCTCACTCGGCGCGTCTGTCCAACGTCCTTCATCTCACTTAGAGACAGCGGGAGGATTCAATTGCACCCGATCCATCCAATTTACAGTAGGGCTGGTTGTCGAGCTGAGTCTGGACCGTGATCAGTAACTTCGGCTGGGTGGAAATATGTGCCCAAAAGGGGAAGTTGAGGATGTAAGGCTTCCGTTGTGAGTGATTGGATCGTCACCGAAGAATAAGCGATATAGTCGTAAGAAAATAAAATAATGCTCAGGGGTTTTTGCCCATTCAACTCGCCGTTTCATATCACGGCTAGGGTCTCTACAACTCGTCTCAGATTGCCAATTTCCAATTGTAGCACAACCAGCACGGGCCAAAGAGGAAACCAGGCTCACATACCCTAGAGAAGACAATTTGTATGTTCGTAGCATCCGACAGTTTCCTAGAAGTCGCCTGAGCATGTCAAGAAGAGTTACATTCGAAGCTCCAGAGTGTCCTTCATGAAGGAGAATGGCGACGTCTGTTTCACCACGGGTGACTCCGGCTCCATAGAGTTATCGGCAATGCTATCGTTCTTAATAGGTCTCTTAAGACATGAAACACCAAGGGTATTGGAGCTTGGATATCACCTAGGAGCTATGTCGATGAGCTGCTGTTGAGTCAGTAAAAAGTCTCTTGAACCAATACCCGGCCTGTGCTTCGCTTGGAGTTCGTCTCTCGTAGGCCTCATTTCAAAGTTTGTTGGCTTTACTAGAAGCGTTCGGATAACCGAGATACAACTCCGAAGACTGACCTTCGGCTACGGAGTACAAAGCAGCTGTTTGATGATGAAAGCTGGCGGTTATGACCAGACTTAGCGACTTGGAGCTTTCGAACGGCTCTTTACTCCCAGGAACATCCACGATCACTATTAGCTGTTTTCTCCAATAGTTAGACATGGTTGATGTAACAGACAAATCCGACCTCAACCTAATGGAGCCAGATAGCTTTAAGCTTAAGCTCATTCATTCAACAACCAACGTTCGAGAATCAGAACCTCCAGGTTTGACGGCAGTTGATCTGGTCGATCCCTAAACATTGCCAGCGCTACCGAAAGCCACCTTCATCATACGATAACTAATGCGAATATGAAACATTTGATGAACTCTCAGTTACCAGCGGCGGTTAAGCGGGCGTTAAGTGTAACCACAATCAGATACTCTTGCGATATTAGTTCTTGGTGTTGGCACTCATCTACTAGGTCGTTCCTAGAAGCGAACATGGACCAAGGGTACATGAGTCTTGGCGGAAATTGCCGTTTACAGTAGCAACGGACCGTCTAGAGTCGTTTCCCGTAGCTCCAACGCCAATTCAAGCTCTATGGTGACGTCGAAAATTGAATAGCTTCCTCAGCTACTAGGTATAGGTTAGGTCCAAAGATCTTGCATCTTTTACTGCTGAGTCAACAGCCTCTACATGCCTGGATCGAACGTCACACAGGCCAGTGATCTCGGAATGCAGAAAAATGCGTGACATGAAAGCATGCTGCTGATCATGCCGACCGACATATTTGAAAACCGTTGGGTTTGCAAGTACACAGTACCAGTCCCATGACCGATGAGCTGTCACCGACAAAAGTATCCAATACTCATTGGACAGCATTGGAGCTTGATAACATTTTTTGGCGGGGACTCATGGCGGCCTGGAGGGGCAAAGCTCCAAAGAATCACCATATCAGAGCAGTCGACAACCTCCCCCGCCAAAACAAACCTCACCTCTAAACCTTCTTGCCCTCGCGTCGCAACTCTCATCCTTCTCGTCCTCCTTGCAACCACTCAGTTCCTATAATTTCACACATCTCACATCACTATGTCGTGGCAAGGTCAGTTTCTCACTGTCTCTACTATCCTTCACCGTCCCGCTATCGATTTCCCCTCCCCCGCCATCGTCCTTGTTCCTCATCACCGCCTCCAAATACCTCTATCTCGAAGCCCTAACTTGATGTTGGACGAAAAAGCTGACATGATGACTTTTCCATCGATATAGCATACATTGACTCAAGGTATATACAATCGATCCTATAACTCTTGATCATAGGCTATGATCATGCTTTCCGCACGAATACCGATCGAATGCTGACATTTTTCGTCTCGATAGCCTTGTCGGCTCCGGTCACATTGACAAGGGCGCCATCATCAGCGCTGCTGGCGACAGCGCCTGGGCCTCTTCTCCTGACCTCCAGGTACGGCAAACCCTCCTTCACCGACTCAACCTCTCGGATCGATTGGCTAGCCCCTCGTTAATGAACAAAACTGACCTTGTAACCCCACTATAGCTCAAGCCTGAGGAGATGAAGGCCATCTCTGCCATCGTCGGCGGTGACTCGGCTGCCAAGGATAAGGCTTTCGCTGAAGGTCTCTACATTGCTGGCGAGCGTTACGTTATGGCCCGAGCCGAGGACCGGAGTATCTACGCCCGATCGGTACGACGCCTAATTCACGAATCCCATCGCTTTTGACTAACTTCTTAATTACAACAGGGCCGCCTCGGTGTTGCTGTTGCGAAGACTGGCCAGGCCATCGTCATCGGCCACCACGGTGAGGCCCAGGTCGCTGGCAACGCCACCTCTACCGTCGAAGGTCTTGCCGACTACCTCATCAAGTCAGGATACTAGACAGACATTCAGTGTGTGAGGCAAGGGTCTGGACGGAATCAACTGCGAGAAGCGCCAGGAAAACGCTGTTTGTCCGTGGAGCGGACAGTCAACGCAGCTATAACGAGCTTATGCCGAGAAGAGCGCCTTTGTTTTAGAGCACTGGGCTATGAGCTCGAGTGTGTTACCCGGGGAGGACATTTTCCTTATTTGACCAAAAATCGGTCGGACGAGTTTGTTTCTACACGATTCTGCATATAGGCAATCCGAATGCCCTCCAGAACCTGTCACCTGTATGCCAGATTTGAAATGATCATCAAATGTCAGCCAACTCGACTCTCCATTAAAACTGCTTTTAATCGTTTGTTCTCCGTTCGTATCCATGATGTACAGTGCTTTGTCCACCTTATTATAGGTACTCATGATGGTTCTTTATGTCATTTAACGCCGATTCCAACCCAATATTTTCTCTTGAACTCCGCCATTCAACTCTTGCTAGACGCGTGTCGTCGAATGCCTTTTACACGTAATGAATCTTGTTCTCGTTCGGGTGATGCATAAAAGTGTCTGTGAGGCTCAGGGGAGCCTCTAAACAGGAAGCTCGGCGTTTCGTCTTCCAAGGCCTATCCTATCAGCGATCATTCCAATATACGGTCCTACGACAGGCAAGCCTCGCGCAAAGCCAGCAATTGTCCCCAGGAAATCTCCGAACAGAACCACTATGCCGTATGCTTCAACGATAAACCCGATAAAGGTCCACTTCATGAAAATCAGGATCAGGCCTAGGAAGAATGCCGCCGTGCCCTTTGCTTTTTGCTTGCGGGCGAAGAAGAGAAGTGTCTTTTGAGGTCCGATGATGATTGTCAAGCCGATAAGAAAGAGGATCTGTTTCGTACGTCGGTCGTTAGCCATCCCTCGTTCGCTGTAATAGAGGAAGGGAAGAGGTCGTCATACATTTCCCATAGCAAGCCTGAATAGAAGTCAGTTAAAAAAAACCGCTAGATGATTGAATCTGTCCATCCTTACATAGATCGGTCGAAGAATAGCATGACGCCTCCTATCAGGAAGAAGCCTCCTAGAATAAACGTCAGCCTCCATACCTCAACGTGCAGGCGCAGGCGTAAGCGCACCACCGGAGCAGAAGACAACTCCAATTTCTATCGCAAACGGTCAGCTTTCGTCCATATCGAACAATCTCTTGTCTGAGGGGTAGCGCATCGTTGCAGTGCTTATAATCGCAACTCGCGTGCCAGTGTAAGATAAGGCATACTTTGAGTATCTGTCAACCACATCGACATCTTTGCGGTTCTGTGTATCGCTGATTTGATTGATAAATTCGATCGGTACTGATGGTTTCGATGATAAAGCATAAAATGAAGCTTCGAGTAGGAAAAGGGCGGGATTGAGAGCAGGGAGAAATAACTGAGGCCAAATTACTGAAATGTTTCCTTTTTTCGTCACCAGCTCTGCTTCCCTCAAGGACACGTTCCAGGGGTTTACATGCGATTGACAGGGCTGTTCCAAACAGGGTTTAGGTGGTGCCTGGAGCTGCTTCGTGGCTATTGGCTGTGCTGCGCGAAAGTGGGCGAGCGTGGATTGTCTAGAAATTTTGCTGAGGGCCGACTTTACAAGATTTCCATCTTTCTTCATCTTCCACTGAGAGTTGGAAACGACTCACGAATAAACGCTCTTGGCTTACGGCAATCCAATATGATTGCAGTGCAAATCACTGAAACCTTGTCAAATGGGTTTCAATATTTAGCCAGAAAATGGGGAGGTCGTTGAGAAACAATACGTTTGATTCACTCTATGGAATAGCTTGCTACACATTTCCTTCTGACAGATTTCCTGTCCCTGCCGCGACGGCTGGCGGCGTTCTTCGCCCTGGCAACTGAGATTCGTTTCTTCCCCATACGTTCTCGGTAGTCTGTCGACCTAGGCAGAGAACAAGCTCATGATCACGATTAAGCCGGAGCGTCAATTGCCATCCCTTGGCCGAAAGGCTAAGGGTGCATAGTTGGGGCTTGACTTTGTTGGTCGGACACTCCTATTTGTAATCTTAGAATGGTATCTTTGTATAACGTGCATATGTCTGGTGATTCCTCGCATGAACCCCGTATGACAGGTTCCCGGGCCTCGTTGGTTTTTGAGGTTTTCGCAATTTCGTTAAATGGGCATCCCAAACTGGAGCCACGCTCACTTAAGGACGGTATGAGCACCACGAGCCTCGAGAAACTGCTCTGCCACACCCTGAGGTAGCGTCCTAATGAGACCAAACACTTCCTTATTGTGATAACGAAGTCGCGTCTTGGGATCGAGGTAAGGAGCTGGTAGTCCAGTCACGTCACAGTAATGTTTGTTATGCGCGAGTGATGGTGCCGATTCGATATTTGTGTAAGTGGCTGTTGGAGCCGACACACCTCCTGTCGGTTTGAGGCTCTTCTCGAGGACAAGCTTAGACAGGTTTCGTGATGCTTGAGCCAGATTTGGAGGCTCCTTGCCGCTCTCGGTGGCTGGCGTGCTTGTACCGCTTGTCGAGAGTCCATCATCGGCTGGCGTAGCAATACCACTCGCGTCCATCGGCGTGCCAAGAGCAGAGGCTTCTCTTCGGGAAGCATCGCCGACGATGGCCTTCAGGTTCTTGTTTCGACGCTGGTTGGGCTTCCAGGCCGGACTGCGGAAGTTCTTATGAGTGGAGTGAATGTCAAGCTTCTCTATAAGCTCTTGATGGGCGATTTGCGCCTCGGTTGGGGCGGCCATTGTGTCTCGTTTCTGGATAGCTGGTATCGAAATTTTATCAAAGTCGGCTCGAAGGGTGTCAGCGGTTTTACAGACTTGTTTCACAATCGGTGATTAATGCAGGAAAAAGTGCTCTGGTTCAAGGTCTCTCTTGGTTGTCGCTGTCATGAGCTTGTCGCGTTGGAGATTCTGCCGTGCTTCACCGTATTCCTAGCTTGGAGCTCTGACATACAACGAGATGCCCAAACATGGGATAAAGTAAACAGAGCACTCCGCCAACACGTAATACTGCCTCGGCCGTCTATTCATCACTTCAAACCGATAGCCCACTTAAATGGTAGGATCCATGAGAAATGCGGTAAAATAACGCTCCGAAGCCTTACCTGACGTGTTTATAGGAATCCCCTCATGAGCACCAGCAGAACTTACTGCTTTCCCGTATCATCACCAATGTGGTATGTTTGGCAAAGCTGAACTCGTAAGATATGGATACTAATGGCATGCAGGAAAAACTCAACGAAGCTGTCGTTGTTATGAATAAGAGTCTTCAGGTCAGGAGTGTCACATTTTACATCAATCCATGACTAACACGCAGCTTCAGGACATCAACATTCAGAACATGAACGTTGAATTGGTTGCGCAAATGTTCAAGAACTACCAATCGAACGTTCTATTTCACCTGGAGGGTAAGTGGCTTTCGTATGGTGATGTGTTTGCGATCGCTGACGATATTGGTTAGCCACGGACAACCTTAAGCCGCCGAACTGAGTGTCAACATAGGGGGCCAAGACTGGAGTTTTTGCATTTATGATGGCGCACGACTGTACATGAAATAATGACTTACTGCCAACTCGTCCAATATAGAAAGGAAGTTTTGCAAGGAATGTGACAGGAAAGCTTTACCAGAACCAAGATTGCCTACCTGACCTTGAAATTGTTTGCCTAAATTACCTTGTATATAATAAACCTGTCTAAAATGATGACAGGCCATGTTTGACAGTGTGTCACTGAATATGTAATCGGGGGAAGCCAACTAGGGTATCTGATAGCCTTGACCTGCCTCTATGGAAGACATTACAATCTCTGCACGAGTTCGACACATTGGGAGGTCAATAGTGTCGTCTCTCACTACATCACTTGCATTGTCGCGTAAGTGGATCCCGGAATTGAATGACAAGGCCTAGATCAGCCTTGTAGCCTCACACCTTCTCAATTTCCAACAACGAAGCTCCGTGTTTTGCGAGTCTGACAGACAATTGGCCACTAGAGTCAGACATCGACCAACCTAAACCTTTTTGCTCCTCTCGCCATGACTTCTGTCTCTTACTTGTAAACTCCATCCGACCATCCTATTCGCAATCATGGCTCCCTCGGCCATCGATGAGCCCGCCATCAAGGCGCCCGAACAAAAGACATATCCTCCCGCCAAGATCTTCCCTGTCAAGGAGACACGCTTTGAGAATTACATCGAACCTACAAAAGATGGCCGCGAACGCGCTTTGAAGCAGCCTGATAGCGCTGCCATCGTCATTGATAATGGTGAGCTTCGAGCGCAAGGAGTTTGCGATGGCTGGCAATTGACATTTCGTCTCTAGGATCGTCTGCCGTGCGCGCCGGCTGGTCTTTCGATTCGAAGCCAAGGTTCAGCATCCCTCCGATTATGGCCAAATACCGCGACCGAAAACTAGGCAAGACCTTTTCTTTTGCTGGTTCAGATTGTTACGCCGACACGACCGCGCGAGGTCACATTCGAGGCGCCTTCGAGGCTGGTACAGGAATTGTCAGTAACTGGGACGTAATGGAGCATGTCCTCGATTACATTTTCCTGAAGCTTGGCATGAATGATGCAGACGGTGCCATTGAAGTGCCAATTGTTATGACTGAGGCTGTTGCCAATCTCCCTTACTCTAGAAAATGTACGTGGAACAGTTCATTCCCGCAAGCTTATACTGAAGTTCTTAGCCATGACCGAGATCATCTTCGAATGCTACGGCGCGCCTTCGCTAGCCTACGGAATCGATTCACTCTTTTCATACCGACACAATAAGGGCAAGACTGGTCTCGTAGTTTCGTCATCATATACGTCCACTCATGTAATTCCCGTATACAACTCGAAAGCCTTGCTTGGACAGGCCACACGATTAAACTGGGGAGGATATCACAACGCTGAATACCTCCTCAAGCTCATTCGACTCAAATACCCGGCTTTCGCTGGGAAGCTTAACGTCTCACAGGCAGAGCACATGCTACGGGACCATGGCTACGTATCTCGGGACTATGACAACGAGCTCGCCAATTATCTCGAATGGACAGGGCTCGAGGATCGCGATATTGTCATGCAATATCCCTTCACAGAAGAAGTGATCGTGCAGAAGAGCGAAGAAGAGTTGGCCAGGATAGCAGAGCGCAAGAAAGAGAGTGGACGAAGACTTCAACAACAGGCGGCTAAGATGCGCCTGGAGAAACTGATGAAGAAAGAGCAAGATCTGGAATACTACAAGCAATTGCAAAGAAACATCACAGATCAGACCAAGAAAGAGATTCGGCGCCAGCTTGACAGCAACGACATTAAAGATGAGAACCAATTGGAAAAGATCATCAGAGACTTAGAGAAGGCTATCAAGAAGGCCCGGACAAAGGATGTTGGTGGTGATCCAGAGGAGGAGCAAGAACAACCTAACTTCGATCTTCTTGACATACCTGACGACCAGCTTGATGAGGCCCAGATCAAGCAAAAGCGTCAACAGCGTCTCCTCAAATCCAACCACGAGGCTCGAGCACGTGCGAAGGCAGAGAAGGAAGCAGAGAAGGCTCGTGTCATCGAGGAAGAGCGCGCCGATACTGAACGACGAGAGAATGACCTCGAGAACTGGCTCGATGAGAAGCGTCAACGACGTGCTGAGACGCTGCAAAAAATGAAGGAACGGGAGCGACTAAAGCAGGACCTAGGCAACCGTAAATCCCTCGCCTCTCAGATCCGCATGAAGAGCATTGCCAATCTCGCATCGGACAATCCGACCAAGAAGCGAAGACGTGGCGGTGATGATGACAACTTTGGTGCTGACGATGATGACTGGGGTGTCTACCGCCAAATCGCCGTTGGTGACAACAGTGATGACGAGCATGAGGAGGAAGATCTCCATTCGACTCTCAAGTCACTAGAGCAGGACCTTTTACGTTATGATCCTGACTTTGAGTACGAGCACACCCACGAAGCCCAGTCTGACTGGTCGAAATCTCTCCTGCACGCCTTTGCCCGAGGTCCCCGACCTTTTGACCCCTCCTCACAAGCCGAGCTCAACCAAATTCACCTCAATGTTGAGCGAATCCGTGTTCCCGAGGTTGTCTTTCGCCCCTCCATTGCTGGTGTCGATCAGTCAGGCATTGTTGAGATAGCCGGTGATATTCTCAACCAGCGTCTCGGCAATGTCCCTAACCGCGATGACTTCCTTCGCGACGTGTTTTTGACAGGCGGTAACACTCTGTTCAAGAACTTTGACGATCGTGTTCGCGAGGGTCTTCGTGCTCTCCTCCCTGCTGATTCACCACTGACCGTCCGCCGTGCCGAAAACGCCCTATTAGATGCTTGGAAGGGAGCGGCTGGATGGGTGGGTACATCTGCTTGGAAGTCAGCAAAAATCTCTAAAGAAGAGTACCAAGAAAAGGGTCCAGAATACATCAAGGTTTGTCCAAATCTTTTCCACAGTGGCATGCTCTTACTGATGTGTATAGGAACACGACATGGGTAACTCGTATGCTTAAAATGTCTAGTGATGGAAATCTGGAGTGAAAGGCGAGTTCTTTAATAGGAGCGGTTCGGGTATGAGAATAATTTACATGTTGCCTTAATCAGGGATCTCTTGTCCAGAGTAAAAAAAAGCCAAAGGAGAAGACGATAGACGCTTCCACACAAAACCGTCAGGCAGCTGCTCCACACCAAAAGTGTTTTCCGGGACACTTATTTTTATTACAGGAGTAGATATCTGGACTAACAAAATATAACCGTCTTAGTGATATCATCCGTAAACGTGACAGCCCAGGTAAACAGTAGCAAGACTCGCCAAGCGAAGCCCGCATGATCAAGGAGCCTTTGTTTCACATGAACAGACCCGAACGCCCCTCTCTTTATAAATATAAAATCACGACAATCAGTTCCTTAACGCCATAATAACAGTTGCAGAGCCCCGAGCACATGGATATCATGCGGTTCTCTAGACCGCTGGTTGTTGTGCTTGGGGTTCCTCAGAGTGTTGCAATTGCTTGTTGATCTCGTCAGCAGTCCTTGTATCCTCAGCACTGGGCTCAACTTTGAAAGGCTCAGCCTTGAAATGCGGCGAGGGATACCTTTGGCGCTCGATTTGCTCCTGAGCCGCAAGACCAGCCACGGCTTGCGCAACAGCCTCCAAAGGCGTTCCTGCAGCTGGATTGCTAGGCGCGGGCTCGGCATGAGGAGCAGGAGCTGCTATAGCTGAAGCCGATGCTGGCTGAGCGGGAGCAAGGTTCACATTCGGTGGGGGCGGGGGGTAGTCGCCTGACGTCTCTAACAACCGCGTTTGCAAATGAACGACATACTCCCGAAGCGCGTAATGTTCCGCCTGCATTGCTTTAAAAGACTGTTCCATATCCGTGAAATCGCGAACTTGCTGCTCGAGCTTTTTTATATAGCCTTCCTTCCGTTGTCGGAATGCTCTCTGGATGAATTGTTAGCCCAGGAGCTCAATTGCACGGCGATGTCACGGCGCCAGCCAACGAGCCATCATCAGTCGACTTACTTGTGCAGCTCGGTTCTGTGCCGCGCGCTTGGATTGGGATAGCTCCCGCTTTGCTTTGCGACCGTCTCCCATATGATCGTCTGCCGATAAAGGCGCTGGGGGCGCTGGAGCAAGCGCAGCGCTTGACGGGCCAGCAGATGCGCCTGGACTATGTCCAGACGGAGGAACAATGGGCATCATGTTTGCTGTCGGTGCGTGATTGGCTCGCGCGCGAAGATCAGGATGAATGTGAGCTTCAACTTCGCCTTTCGTGGCTAGAACTCGATGTTGGTCTTGAGGACTGGACAGATGATCGAAGCCATTCGCCGGCCGTGCGGGAGCGGGCTGTAAAGGCCGAGATTCACGGGGTCCGGGGGCAGTAGTTGAGGATGAGCCTGTCGCGTCGTGGCTCTTCAGGAGCTCGAGCTGTGCGCGCAAATGCTGCTCTATGTGGAGGGGTCGGTGTTAGCCAATGCACCCAGCACCTACGTCAATAGTAATTGAACTAGACGCGAAGCCGAGGTGGTCGAAACGAATATCGGATGCAACAGTTGAGGATAAGAACCTCTAAGTGTATTGTATATGGGATTGCGCAAATGACGCGACAAGAATGTCATTCAAATAGTAGACAGATGCAAGGAGCTCTATAGACGTCGCGATGGACCAAGGCCAAGGTGAGGCGTAGTATAGTGTAGATAATAGACAGAGCAGTAGGTCCAAATCAAGAACCAAGACGCGCCCAGACAAGGAAATAGGCAAAGCAGAACAGAAAAGGAAAAGAGAGAAGAAGAGTTGTCTTGACTAACCTTGATTATTGGCGCCGCTGGCTGAGGAGTTCTGCATGCTTGAGCTCTGGGGGAGGAGAGTCTGACTCAGCATCCAAGTAGCAATGACCCAGGGCGGGCGATGATGATTACTACAACGAGGGGGGGGACCTGACGCTGACTGACGGAGACGAGTGAGGAGAGAGTTCCGGCGGATGGATGACGGATTATGTAACCTGGATCCGGGACCTTTCAAGTGTGACTGTGAGTGGTGATCGAGTCGGAAAATGGCGTGGCTGGGCCGGGGAGGCTTCTTCTCTCCGCTTGCTGGACCAACTAGACTCGTTTAAACCTGGAGCTAGAACGATTTGGTTATCGCTCGCTTGCTGATTGTTCGCTTCTGCTTTTGGCTTGCTCGTCCCGGGAACTCTGATGGCGGTTGTTACTTACGGTATGTGCTGTACGTAGGACGGAGCTCGGAGCCGTTCCTCGTTCTGCTAGGATCAATTTATCTTGCTCCCTAGCGTAAGTGCTGACGACGATTTTTGCGGCTGGTGCGGGAAACACCCACCAAAAATGTACGCGGATCGCTGTTATATCCTGTATTAGAAAGTCAAGGAGCCCGTTTCAACAGGTAATATTTACTGTGTTCTTAATTTGAAGGACAGAGAAAGACGCGTAGACTGAATAAAGAAGCTGGTTGATTTAGGTGAGGAGAATTCGGAGTCCGGGCAATAACCAGTCAAAAGTCCTGTTCGGTTTTCCTTCTTCTACTTCTTTCCCTTCTACCCCCGGGACCGGTAGTTCTGAACTTCTGATACTGGCCGCGATGGGAATAAACGACGGGCCTGGGCCAAAAGATTGGATGGATTTGCTGACTGATGGGGAGAGGGGAACGTTGTTGCAGCAGAGAAAATATTTGTCAGCGACCAAACCTGAGCAGAACTGAAAGAGAAGCAGGAGCTAGGACCACCTCAGGCATCCAATGCATGCACCCGCCCATGCCAGTCATGCACCTTCCTCGTGAGCTTGCGACCCCACTCGCGAGATAAATGTCCTATTTTGGAAAGTCCTGGCTTTTCAAGACTTCGGGGTCCTTTCGATCTCACATTCATGGCGTATAACCACATAATACGACCTCGAATCTTGCGGTAAAATCATGCATAACCACGAATCGAGTTGAGCTACTTTTTTGCGGTGTAGGGTTGGTTTCCAGGCTATTGATTGGTGAATACTGACAGAACTTTGTTCGTGTTATACGACCCAATGAACACCACACCACACTGCTTATTCCATCCGCTCAGTGACTCCTGTTTGGTCTCACTACTTTCATCTCAAACACAGATCTCTGGGGATTTATTGGGGCTACCAGTCTTGAAAAGGGCGAAACGTCTATCTGTTTGACACTTTTGGGCCATGTCAGAATATGCTACCTAAGCCTGCTGGGTAGCGACACATTCTTGCCTGCCGGCCCCCATGAGATACTTCAAACATCAGATCGATCTCCTCATGCTGTTAAACAGCCAAGACGCTTGAATTTATCCATCTCCGGAGCTATATCCAATTATATCGGCGCCTCTTCCGACTCTTCCGGTCAGTGACAAGAAGAAACGATCGAATATACGACTTGTCCTGCTTGGTCGAGCTCTCAAGCTCATGGATCGTCCTGCTGTGATATAAAAAGAGCCGGCGGGTGCAATTACCAATGATCCTTTAACCGTTATAGGTGCTTGTTAATATCCAGTGAGGGTGTGCAGCGTTTGCACTAGCTCGGGCTTCATTTCCTGGTCATTGCCATGGCCATGTATCAAATACTGGAGCACTTTTGCGTCTAGGCTGATGAGGCTTGCTTTTCCTAACCTCTTAGTTGGCCGGGACTAAGTCTCTTCAGGACGAATACGCAGAATGGCACATTAGTGGACATTGATAGTCCCTGTAGGTTGTGAGATTGTTGAACCAGAGCTCGGGGACCATCAGTGTATGACAGAACATGGGCAGCTAAGCACTTAGCAACGAATGATCAATCAATCTATAGTGGTCTTGAGAATTTACTTTTCATTCCTAGCTTCAAATAGCAATCAAGAAGACATGATCCTACATATTTGGAGCTGTTCGGTGTTAGTCGACCTGGACATATGGTGTGTTAGTGGATACTTGTGCTGTAGCCAGTCCCACTCTATGTCAGAAGTACTCATAATCTGTACCACTTTCGCCACTCATCGATCAATCCTTTCAGCCTCATCCTCCAACCCACCTTCACTTACAACCTCATCTCTTGGTCGCCCTACAATGCGCCCTTCTCATATCTCACATCGTCTACCATCTCTTTCCCGCCTGGCTTCGACGATGGCTCAACCGCAATTCTCTGCTGGTACTGATGCTGCGAGCGTTACGCCTGCGCTTAAAGCACTCACTTCCGACGGTGGACGATGGACACTCACCAAGGATGGTGCTGCTTTGGAGAGACAGTTCAAGTTTAAGACATTTTCAAAGACATGGGTAAGCGATTGAGAGGGGAGTACTGCGATTCACTCAAAATAGTTGAACCACCATGAAATACAAATGTTGAGGAGTACCATCGGAGTTGACTAGTCTCAGGATTTCATGACAGGAGTATCTCTGAAATGCAAAATCAAGAACCACCATCCCGAATGGTCTAACGTAAACCCTCCTTCAGCTTACACGTCAATTATCATGCAGCTAACCACATTCCAGGTTTATAACACCACCTTCGTCCGCTGGACAACGCATAACCCAGCTGGAGTCTCGGACAAGGACATAAGCATGGCCGCCGAATGTGATGCTCTCGCAGAACAACTAGGTGAGCTGCCTCCGGAGCCGACCGCCCCAGTTGCGGCCGAAACGGAAGACCAGAGCTGTGCTATCCGCGGTTTGGCGGACCGCGCAGCTGGGGCGGCAGGAGACTGCTGTACCCCCAAGAGGAAATAGAGAGGCTCCGGCTGATTTGAAACGATGCACATCGAATTCCTGCGAGGCAGAATTCGGTCAGTTCTTCCAATTGCACATCCAGCTTGCTAGAAACGTATCTACAAGCCCATGTGGCTGCGTGTATCATTATGATGAACTCTGACAACTGCGCCACTACGTCACTGCATGACGAGATGTCATGATTCACATATGGGTGGTTATTGGTGATGGTATGGTTAAAGGTCAATGAACGATGCTGATGATTAAATATGTCTTAAAGCCTCTCCAGGGCAACTTTCTATATACAAGCGTAAAAATTCGTTCTTGGTTAACATCCCCAACGCCATGCGAATGCTCGAGCCGCTAGTTTAGCGACGTAGACAATGTATGCCCGGTTTGCGAACAGTCTAAGTCTTCATGATCAACACCCTCTTCATTTTATTTCCGGTCGTGAAATCCCTGAGTCGGACTCGATTCACCGCAATCGATTATCAGTCATCGTGTCAGGCTTTCTTTGCAGCACTCTATTGCGCCTTCTTGGCCTTGATCTGGGCGAGCTTCTTCTCGCGACGGCGCTTGTGAGCCTCGGCGCCAGCCTCGGTGTCCAGGCAGTAGTCCCACCAGCGGAAGCTGGAGGCGTAGTTGCCAATGAACTTCTCGTGGTGAAGATCGTGGTGAGCAGCACCGGCCCAGACGGGAAGGAAGTGTCGCAGACTCCAGGGGAAGTCGTAGCCACTGTGAGAGTCGATGGCCTGGAAAAGACGGAGGACGATCCAGGTGTACATAGTGAAGAGGTGGAGCTCGCCAGTAATGGCAAGGAGGACAACGGGGCATCCGACAACACCAATGCCGAGGAGAGCTGTTTCGATGGGCGAAGCGTACTCAGCGGCGAGACCGAAAGGAGCAGAGTAGGTGTGGTGCATCTTGTGGATGGCCTTGTAGAGAGGACCGTAGTGCAGAGCACGGTGGAACCAGTAGTGCCAAGCATCCTCCATGATGAAGCAAATAGCGATCTGGAGAGCCATCTTCCAAACGGGAGGGAAGGGCACACCGTAGTCCATACCGAGGTAGGTAGCGACGGGGTGGAAGAACCAGATCTGAGGAAGTTCGGCGGTGAAATGGCTGATAAGAACGATGGCGGCGCAATCCCATTGCTCCTTGAGAGTGGGAACCTTTTGCTTCTGAATTCTGAATTGTTGGAAATAGGGGATGTAGTCCATCATCATGTAGGGAATACAGCGGCCGAAGTAGACGAGCTCGTGAAGGACGAAACTCATGATTCCGGTCGCGAGGGTGTCGTTCTGCATCCAGAGGTACCAAGCCTGGGTTTAATGTTAGCATTGTTGTGGTTTCGCGACGTTGGATCGGTTTGGACGTACGGCCCAGAGCTTTTCGACAATGTTGAGCTGGACATTGTACTTGGAAACCTCCTCGAGGACAACAAAGTAGTCCTTGGTCTGGTTAAAGGACGCGAAGGTGGTCGCGTTTCTGCAAAAATTGATGTCAGAAGGGGCTGTTCAAAACATTGGCGTGTTCGACTGGCAATATCAGGGAGGCTACTCACAGCGCATCCATGGTGAAGTTAGCAAACTTATGGCAAAGTAGACTGAATAGGGACCCTCTAGGTAAAGAAGAAAGACACCAGCAAGCACCGGGTCCAGTCAAGAGTCGTCGGAGAGGCGGCTCTTGTTATAAAAGAGGAGTGTTGACAATGGTGATGGCGGTGGTGAAAAGGAGAACAGACGGTGGCTGTTGGGGAGGTTTTATCATTTCCTCGATTGCCCGGCCCAGAGAATCTCTAAGGGGGGTCCCATCCAAAATGGTGGGCGGCGGGCCTTGGCCTGGCCACACGCCCACTACAGGCATTCAATTCACTAACTTTACGGAGATTTACAGCCAGAGAAGTAAACGGACCACCTGCTCTTGCACCGTCTCGGTACGTACCGTTGCGAAAATTGCACCAGGAACGACGCCTCAACAGAGTATTCACACACCTTGTAAGCCAAAGGAGGTAATGTGAATCTCCCAGGCCCTGTGACAGCCAGCCATTCACGACACAGGACCCCTGGGCTTTCGTTGGTCTGTGCGCGATACCAGATGGAAGACAGCAATGGTTCCAGAATGAGACCACTATCAAATTGTCCTCCCGGCTTCCGGGCCCATCTACATCCCTCTGCACCAGTCAAAGCGAATACATATCGCTTTAGCATTGTCACCGCTTGAAAAGAATCGTATGTGTGTTTATCGACTTTACGGGGATCTCACGGGAATTTGAGGAATCGTCTCAGATCATTTCGAGGTCCTTGATGTTGTCCTTTTTCGTCCCTTATCCAGGGTCCAGCACTTTGAGGGGCATCGCCCGTCGTTTTTACACATTGCCATTGAAAGCGGTGAAGATCGAAATCAGACCCAATTCGGCCTTTGCCGCGATTTGTGATTGGCCTACGAGCGACGTCTTTTACGGATATCGAATTGAACTAGATTTGGTTCCTGTAACACAAAATAACACAGAGTGTTCATGTTTCAGTCTCTGGAGCACCCTTGTTACTGGCATGTCCCTATCCAAATCACAACAGGTGATTTTTACATTGGACGCGTCCTGTATGGATCGAGTGGCAACATTTAACACAGGGATTTTCAGTCTAGGATCTCATCAAACAAAGCATTGCCGTGAAAGCTCCATCGGATGGCGCTCTCCCGGACGCAAGAGATTTGGAGAAAGTGGTGTGTTCTAAGCAGCGGGTTCAGAAGCGGCCTTTGCGGCCAAATTTTTGAGGTTAGATGGTTACTCATCGATAGGGTGCAGATCGCGCCAGGGGCAAAGTATTAGATTATCAACCGATCTACTGGGTCAGAATCAGCCGCCCCTTGCACCAATCGCCCAGTTCCGATGATCTCATGAGGCGTGTCTCTTTTTCGTTTTCGGCTCTCGATTTTAGAAGTTCTGCACGTTCTTCTACGCCTCTCCCGCTCGTTCTCGCTAACATGATGAAGTCGTTGCAATACCAGCGATTCCTGATTATCTCTTCACATGTATTCCGTTACATCCAATCGGGGATCTTGCAATTGAAATATTCGTTTTTGACAAGAGATGGTATGACTTGGTTTTCACTGTTCTGTTATGTTCATTTACTTTTAGATGAAGTACATATGCATTCCAGCTTGGGCTTAGTGTATCTGTCGTACTCGGTATCTTAGAATAACCCGAATACGAGGAAAATCCAAGCCCGCGCCGTCTAAAACGGTCTATATTTTGGGGTCTAGGTTAGCCTGGGAATTTTATTATCAGTATGTATGCTGGGGGCCGCTTCGTCTTGTATATATGACGATGTCTTGGAACTGACTATTGCAGGCTAGCTCTATCGGTTTAGATTTCTAGGTATGTTTGAGATAAGTTGTTGGTTGTAGTTGGCCTATTAGGGTTTCACTTGATTTTGGAGTTCAAAGAGATTTGCTCTCAGTATGCCAAGCAATCGCCAAAGCAGCATGGGGGTTCCCTTCTCTCGTATGGAAAATTATCCAAAACTCGAATATCGTAGCTTTGGAAACACATGCCCAAAAGAACACATCCATAGCCACAGTTGATCATGGCATTCTCTTCTACGTATTTGTCTAAGTGAACTGCTGCCGAATACGAATCAGTCTCTAATCAGCAACCACACCTTCTTTTCAAGCTTGTGAAACGTCATATTGTGGTTAGATCATTATGCAATGCATTGTGCAAGGAAAGCTGTGTAATTGATGATTACAACGGGTGTCAGCCTTGCAACCATTCAATTCCAGTTTAACCCTACAACTTGCGACGGGTTTTGGTTGTTTTCTCATGTACGGACCCGGGCTGAGCTGATCCGTGTGGCATGATGCAATAAACGTTCCCCACATTTGCTCATCTCCCGCCCGCATTCGTGTTTGGAGCTTGTGGTGCGGATACAAGCTCAAGCTCAAGCTCACACTCACACTTCTCACCCCTCGTCTCGTTTCCATCCAAACGCGATTCGACGCCCGGTGCCCGCTGCGCAGCCCTGCTCCTAATTCTCCGTCGAGCCCCCGTGACTTGGCGCTCATCACCCGACCGAGAAGCTGCTGGCACCGCCGCTGTCTTCGTTGTCACCCCCGGGTCGTTCGCCGAGCACTCCACCGATTCTTCGGAGCTACCGTCCCGTCTCATTCCGCGTTATCCCCGGTCTATAGTTGCTCTCTGCAACTTCGGCTGCTGCTGACAGATGCCGTGCTTCACACACCAGCCTTGTCGTTACCAGATCTAAGCAAGCTCATCCTTGGTCCTACCATGACGCTTGTCTCCGAGTTCGTCAACCTCAACACCTGGGCCCTGCTACTATTGCCCCTCACCTTACATAATCCGTCAAGTCGCTAACCCTGCTCATAGCCAAGTACGGCGGCTTGATGCCTACCTTGATCGTCTTCCAGTTTTATCCGAAGTTGCTTCAGAGGATGATCAGTCAGAGACCGAAGAGCATGAGTTTGCTGTAGCTGCTGCCTTCTCATCCCCGCGTCTTGATCACTTGCTCCGTACCATTCAGTCATTGAGTACTACATCATCCTCGCAACCGCTTCTGCCGGCATGGCGCATCAGGGATCTTCTCATATCCTCGGATATCCCTGCATCTGCCCACCTCTCAGTGAGAGAGGCACAGCCAGGTGATGAGACTAAAAGCCCTTATGAGAATGAGCTGGAGTGGCTGCTTGTTAGCAAGGCCACCATTCAACTCCATGGCGTTGTTCTCAACACACTCCTGGATCAAATTGTCCCTCTCAACGATGACATATGGTACTGGGACGATGTATTAGGCTCGTATTCCTACAGCAGCCTATATGCTGTCCAGAGTTCGCCTTTGCGTGTCTGGGCATGGTCTCAAGAAGTTTACACTGCAACCAAGTTGCGCGTTCAAGCTGGTTCCCTTCATCATGCCCCAGGTGAACTCGTGGATTCCACGACATCAGGTCTGTCGCAGCAGTGGACGCAGTTTTATGGTATCGTGCATGATAGTATCCGGGAACGATCAATCGCCAACATTCAGCGGAGAGTTTTGTCGCCTGTTGCGTTATCTCGATCCGAAGCACGACGCAAACAGGCACAGCTCAAGAAACTTCGCGAGATAACGGCAAGCGGACTTGGCGTACTGATGGATGAAGGCCTGCAATTCGGCCTCGACGACGATAAGGCTGAGCTTCAGGACCATCACGATCTCAAAGGCGTCGTCGAACGTAGTGTTGCGCTTATCGATATGGTTCTCAAGGAAGTTTCTACTCTGGACGTCAATATTAGCGATTTTGAGGACAAGGTTTTTGCCGGTGTCGAGGAAGATCCCGAGCTTTCTGTTCACATCGAAGACAGCAACACCGCTGATCGTCCAGCCATTCTAGCCCGACGACTGCTCACCATTATCGACAAGTCTCTCCCCGAACATCTTACTGCAATGCACGCCCTGGCCAAGGAAAATGGTCGACCTTCCACTCTAATTCGATACTGGCTCCCTGCGATTGTTGGTCTCCTCTCTTCGACAACTGTCTTGCGTATTCTGGTCAACCGGAAGGCCGATATTATTGAGTGGTTCGTTGGATTTGGTGAAACTGTTCGTGATTTCTGGTTTAACTGGGTCATTGAACCGACGTCAAAGATCATCTCAACCATTCGACACGACAAAACCAGCGAAATCGCCATCATGAGTAGGGATAGTCTTAAGGCGGACCGTGAGAGTCTCGAGCGTATGGTTGTTGACTTTGCCCTCGACAAGCCTCACTTCGCCAATGAAACCGGTAGCACCTTGACTGAGTCTCAAGTTGCTGACATCCGACACAAGGTTGCTGAGGGTGATGTCACTCCAGTGCTCCGAGCGTTCGAGAAGGATTTGCGAAGCCCTTTCATGGGCACTATTCGTGGAGATCTTGTCCGATCACTCCTCATACAGGTTCAAAAGACAAAGGTTGACCTTGAGGTCGCCATGACCGGCATCGACTCTCTTCTCAAGAGCCAGGAACTTGTCTTTGGCTTCGTTGGTCTTACTCCCGGTGTTCTCGTTTCTTATAGCATGTTCCAGTATCTGCGCGGTGTTTTTGGCGGCCGCTCTGGCCAACGCCAAACCCACAAAGCTGGCAAGGCCATTCGTGTTCTCCGCAATGTAGACCGCATCCTCTCCGAGGCCCGACCTACAGAGACCAATCTTCTCTCTTATAAGGACCACGGTCTCTTGCTTTCCGAAGTCCATATTCTGAGAGACCTCGTTGATAAGCTCATGCCCCGTGAGATCGCGAGGGAGTTCCTTGAGGATCTCGATGATTTGTCAAACATGAAGGGTATTCAGCTGCAGACAAGGGCACTGGAGCGTATTCGTTGGGCTTATGCGAGATGGCTTCACTAGGCAAGCCATCAAAGGTGTTCGTCACGGGTCTAACGATAGCATGTATACTAGCCCTTGCTGGGCAGGTAAAATAGCACCAATGTACTTATGCACATAGGTAGATTGCATAAACGAGCCATGATTAGATGCATAAACCTCTTTGTCTGGCGATGGACCTTCTGGAGCTGTCTGTAGTGGTATACTTGCCAAATATCA